CATTTTGTTTACAGGATTTAATGAGAGTCCTTTTTCCCAAACTGCAGTCCCTGGCGAGCTTGCTGACACACAGAAGGCTGGGCCCCACCCCCGAATTTCTGATTCTCTTTTGGGTTGTTGCCCAAGAACTGGTATTTTTAATAAATTCCCAAATGATGCTGATGTTACTGGTTTGAGAAGCACCGAATTAGAGCAACATTTACTGCTAGCACACAGATCCCGCAAATTAGATATAATGTTCATTTTCAACGTGAATCTAGGTCTCTGGGTGTTGAGAAGTGAAGAGGCTCACTCACCTACGCCCACAGGCAGAAGTGAGTCTTTTATAGACCTCGAGGGCGGGTGGGACTTGGCGCCAGCGGTCACAGAAGTCTGCGGCCAGCCCCTTTAAGAGGAAACGCTCGCAGGGCAGCTGGGCCAATGTCATGGAGAAACCGCAAGGTCCTCTGTCGTCCCCAACTGCCCAGCCGGATGCTAGATGGAAAGCACGCAATCCCGGAGGCTGTGCTTGTGCGTCACCGGCTGGCGCAGGGCCAATGACAGCCCAGGAGAGTGGCGTTTCCTCGGACCGGAGAGGTGGGGGCCGGAGAGGTGGGGGCCGGAACTTCCTGCGTTTCGGCCCCGAAGTCATTTCCCTGGCGGGTCTGTGCTCCCGGGGCCGTGGCGCGTTGCAGGCGTCTTTTCCGGGCCAGGACCCTCCTCCGCGCCTTCGAACGAGCCTTGACCGCCGTGACGCGAGGTCCCCAGGGTCCGGACTGGCCGCGCGCTCTCCGCGGGCCCAGAGTGGGCGCCCCGGGCCCAGTGAGCCTTTTACACCCGGGAGACCGAGGCTAGGAGTGCGACCCCCAGCCCAGCTCACACCTCGCCCAGTGCAAAGCAAGTAGGTTGAGCCCACGACACCCGCCTCAGTCACCCGCCTCGATGGCGGCGGCGTTGAGGCACCAGGCGCAGGTGAGTATCGACTTCAGGCCCTCAGCCGCTCAGACCCCCACCGGCAGGAGCCTGGCGCCCGGATGGAAAAGATGGGCGTGGTCTACGGCTGTCGGCCTTTCTCATAGCTCTGCTTTTGAGTCTGGGGGCCTAGTGGGGAGTCACTCCTAGCCTAGGGTCCTGAATCCAGGCCAAGGATCATAGAGCCGTTCTTATTTCTGAAATTTAGTAAGATGAGGTAGGAAAAGGTTTCCTAGGCCCAGAGTCCAGTGCACATGCCTAGAATTAGATTGAGTTGGGAGTGTCCAGCGAGCAGGTGGGCCTCTATTCTGAGGGTATTGGGAGCCACAGAAGTTGCACAGCAGAGGAGGAAAGTGATCTGACTCAGATCTTATCCCTGTGGATGCAGAATGGAAAACTGACTGGGGTGAGGCTACTGCAGTTGTCAAGGTGAATAGTGCAAGTGGCTGCAGACAGAAGTGATCGGATTCTGAGCCTGTGTTTTAAGTAGGGCAAACCAGATTTTTTGATGTGGAGGGTGAGAAAGAGGAGGGATGACTCCATGGCTTTGGGTTTTAGCAGATGGAAGGATGTATTAGCCATCAGCTGAGATGGAGAAGTTGCTTAAAGGAGGAATTTTCAGTGGAAAACAGAAGTTAGGTTTTAGACATGTTGAGCTCTGATGTTCCAGAGACCCGAGTGGAAATGAAGTGTGGGCAGCTAGACACACAGTTATGGTATCCTGGGGAAGTAGTTAAAGTAATGAGAGACTGAATACACAAAGGGACAGTGGCCAAACCATACATAAAAATAGAACTTTGGTCCACAGCCTACAGCATCCTGCCCAGGAAACCAACCCTTTATCTACAATAAACAGCCCAGTAAGCCAGCCTGCTATAAGTCAGACTTGCAAGAAGTCAGATTACTATCTCTAGTGACAATTAAGAAAGATAAACAACAACCTTTGTAATAACTGGTCCCAGTGGCCAGGGCTTGATTAATAACTGACAGCCTCTCTGACTTTTCTTCCTTCTTCCAACTTAACCTTCTAGAGGTCAAATGTGCATGCTAGCCAATCACATGGGCCTCCTTGCTTCTAGTTAGCCTGTCTACAGCTCCACCATGCCAATAGGGCCCATCCGAAGCCGTCCCTTTGTCCACTCTAAAGCTTCCCCACTCATCTGCCTGCCTTCGAGTCTTCAAAACCTAAGCAACATTGGCTGAATCCTTTGTTAAAGCAAGCCCAGAATAAATGGGCTTTGCTTTTCTTACTTGGTTGCTCTTAATTTATTTCGACAGTTAAATACATCCAAAATGTGGCATCTGATCTGTGGACAAGGGTGTAGCTCTGAGTCTGATTTAGGAGGGTGACCCTTCAGGTCCTGCTGGCAATGACATTAGGAGGAAAGAGAAGGGTGGGACTTGAGAACTGAGCACAGGGCTTCTTGGTTAAGGATCATCGTTGGCTTGTTTGGCTTCATAACCACAGACAAGGAAAAGTGGTGGTGGCTGTGGCGGTAGCTGTGGTGGGGGGGGGCAGGGTTTTAGGGGAAAAGGGGTCTGGCAGGTGGCCAAATTTCCCTGGAGACGTAGAGCTAAGAGAAGTTCTGAGGGTTAATCATAATGGTAGTAATATTACAGTGAGGCTTGGGCTGGTGCTTATTCCCCATTGTTCTCACCAGGCCCTTGTGGTAACTCTGAGTGGGGCCTGGGGATTTTCAGTCACTCTGGGAAATGAGGTCGGGGCAAATAGGATCAGCTGGGGAAGTCACTAGACACAGGGTAGATAGGGGCGGGAGGACCAGAGGGGTTGGTTTTGGAATGAGTGTGACTGATGAAGGCACAGAATGTGGAACAGAAGACGAAGGGGCCCTGGGGATCTGATATCTGTGTTGTTCTGGGTGGCTTAGATTGAAGCCAGGAACAGGGCCAGCTGAGGAGGCCCCCAAATCAATAGTGGGTATTGTCCTTGGCAATGGGAACATTGAAGGTCTGAGGCAGGATGGGGTCATGGTTGCATTTGCCAAGAATTCTCTGGATGCTTTGTGCAGAGTGACATGTAGGGGATCATGGAGATGGCTGTGATGGCGATGCAGTGCAGAGTTTGAGGGAAATACAATCCAAAAATGATATGCATTAGAGCCCTGGTACTGGGGATTAT